TAAAAAATTATTATAATAAAATTTTTAAAACTTAAATTTAAAAATTAAATTATTTAAAAAATATCTTATAAACTTAATAAAATTAATAAAATATATATTAAACTATATTTTTCATATTATTATTAATTTACTAAAATTAATATTTAATATTTTATTAAAAAATAACACATTTTTTTAAGTTCGCAGGTAATTTGCCTGCTAGACAATCTAAGAGATAGCTATTTGGATGTATAATTTTATATTGTGAGTACTGACCTCTTGTGTCTGATTATATATTAGATTTTATATTGAAATGCTTATCTTTTGCGTCTGTTTTAATACTTATCAAATACAAAAAACTATTATGTCAGATGACGCAATAAATTTGTATTTAATTTCAGCTGATACTATGTTATAATTCTGACTAATCTTTTAAACATGTGATTTTAGATTTCAATTTCAGATCAGTTTTATGAATGTTATAGACATTAAACTTTTCTTTGATGTCGTAATATATAAAGAGATATCACTATCTATATTTAAGATCAAATTAGTAAATATTATCTAATATTCTTGAAAACATATTGAAGTTTAAAATCAAAACTATTAATACTATTACAAAATTAATTATTAAATAATAATTTATTAAATATTAATTATTGGAAAGTGATTTATTAGATAGCAAAATAATAATTATATAAAATAATATATAGGTTAAGGCAAAGTAAATTATATAATATGATAATAGATATTTATTAGATGAATATGCTTAAAATAGGCAAATAATATAATTAGTTAAGTAAATAATAATATAATTAGTTAAATGATGTAATTAGCCAAATATTAATTACATTTAAAATATAAAAAGACAGAATATGAAAGAAACCAAAAAACAGAAATAGGAAAACAGAAAAATAAAAAAAGAAAACAGAAATATGAATAGAAATATAACTGAAATCTAGTAGAAAAAATTAAAATAATTAGCTTATTACTAAAATAGTTAGCTTATTGTCATATAATATTTTTAAAAAATTTAAGATAGAATTAAGAATTAATAAGATTTACAGATGATCTACAGTTGACAGTTTGATAGTAATACAAAATAAGAATTTTTGTATTAATTTATTTCTTTAATAAAAATACCTTTATATTAAATAATTATTATTTGTGTATCTTGAAAAATCAACAGTTTAGAGACAGGTTTAATAAATAATATAGTTTATCCTAATTTCAAGTAAGCTTATTAACTTATATCTTACTATTTGATATCCTTAGAATTGATATGTTATATTTAATATTAAATAAACTAAGCAGTAGCATTTTTGTTACATACTCTAAGAATCAAAAGAAATACTTTTAACAAGGTAATACTTTTAATTAAATTTATAAAACTAATCACGTAAAGGAAGAAAAATAGAAAATTTTAAGAAAATAAGAAATTTATAATTTATAAAGTTAAATATACTTATACTATTAAAAATCTTTTATTAAAAGAGAAACTAATGCCATATATTGAAAAAGTATTCAGATACATGATAGAGATTACTTTATACCTACTTAAAGTAAATTCTTTTGAAACTTAGAGTTTTAAGAAAAAATTCATTATTTCTTAAATTAAGTATAGTGAAATCTATTTAGTAAATTATAGAAGTTAATTATTTCTAACATATATTCATTATTTCTTTGCTATGATAACTTTATTTTAGATGTTCATAGTATTATATGAAGAAGTCAATATCCAATTTTAAGAAATTTTAAGGAAAATAGAAGTTGAAAAAGATTGGTAAAGAAAATACCATAAAAAGAAATATCTGTAAAAGTGAATAAAAACTATATCATTAGGATTGGCTTTATGAGAATTCATAGAACTTTTGTTATAGGAAGACTTTCTTCTAATTGGTTTAAAATATTGATTAGTATTTCTATAATAAGTACGATCAATAAAAAAGTTAACCAATAATAAAATAATAAATATGATTACATAATCTAGACACTATACAAATTTGATATATAATGATAATATATATAATATTTTATATCTTTTGTGAAAGCAATGAAAACAACAAGTTTTATAATAATATAAAAACCTTTATTATAAGGACTTTTGTGTAACGCAAATGATCGGCAAATGAATAACTATAAAAAGAAATTTGTACCAACATCATTCCGGTCGCGATGACATAAAATATCCTTATTTGGACTTTAGTGTGACGTATAGATATAAATGGACACAATGGACGAAAGAAATCCCACAAGGCGCAGTAAACGTCACGTGATTGACACAATGACTTATACGGAAATGTCAGAATACGAAGATATGATTGTATATTATAGATAGAATATAGGAAAAACTTAAGAAATGATAATTTGATAACGAATGATCAGAATTTTATGATTTTGGTACCGCTATGAACGTTGAGAAGAGAAGGATACAAAGGAATGAAAATGAGAATGAGAAAAATAATGGAAAGTTCGTGTGAATTGAAAGAAATAAATGGATGCAATATGAAATTTTAGGATATTGTATGCAGTGTCGGAAAATAAATCAATGGATAATAACATTAACCTTACGCCGAAATTTTATGTTGTTTGCAATCCGTGATTCTAGTAAGACCTTCAGAAATCTGTACGAGAAAATATCATTCGTTTGCAAGTCTTGGAATCATTCTCCTGTAAAGCCACAACCTAAAAAATATATTTCATTAATACCTTGATTGCGAAGTGTCTCGTCCGGATTTCGTCAGCACTTCTTTCAAACTGCGATATGTCGGTTTCTTTTAAGCGAGTCCATAACGTTTAGGCTCAGAGAAATAATAAAACGTGCTATGTGAAAATCACGTCACTAACCGTTACTGCGCTTTATTAATATAAAAAAGCCATCCAGATTAGTCAAATACGGTCAATCGACGACCTAAAAATTACGTAATATTAATTCATCTTTTTTAATAAATACCGCCGAGAATCGGAAAACCGCTCGCAAATCTGAGTAATGATAAAACTTCATTAATCATTTTTTTTTTTCATGTTCTGATAAAGTACCTTTTTTACTATGCTTATTAATTTTGGTCGAAGTATCTATATTATTTGCTGTATTACGTCACTACAAGTCACCAAAAAGTCTATCAAGAGTATTTTATTATTATGTCACGATGTATTCAGAAAAGTATATATATACCTCACCTTTTCAACCCTAAACTTTTCTTTAAACTTTTTCTAAATATTTTATCCCTTTTATAATTTTTTATAGCGATGGATATGTCATTCGATCTTTACGTACTTCAAAGCAACAGTTATGAACTTCTTCTTGCGGTTGACATTTACAAAGACGATAAGGATATAAAAAGATACGTCGAATTTGATACTACAAAGATCTTCTTAAAGAAACTCAAAGTTAGACACCTCAGGGACTATGTCCGTAAAGAAGTTGACGTTCCCGACATAAACATAAACAAATTGAAACTTTGGAAACTTAATGGTTTTAAGCTTAAAGATATTAAAGAGCAAAGTATTTCTACCGAAGAAGACATTGTACAAAAACTTCATGGAGAAGAAATGCAACTTGATGAACCATTTAGTACATATTTTCAAGCTGAATTGGATAAATTAGATGATGAAGATTATGAACCTGTAAGTTCCATCATCACCATCATCCCCACCACTGGTAAGTGTCTCCCAACGTTTTACCTCTCGAACGAGAAATTTGCAGTAACAAAATATCGATTGATCTGATCTCTTTTTTTTTCGCGTTAAAACAGGTCCCTCTCAGCAAGGCGTCCCACAAGGCACAGTATCTCCTGTTAATAACTTCGAGAATCTATTGGCCTGAACGATGTCAGAAAAATCCTCTAACAAATCTCATTTACCTATCGGCTATCTGCTTTAGGACCTAATTGGAACAATGCATCTTCCATCTACAAGTGGATGCAACAATTCATATTAAACCGTGGCCGAAACCTAGTAAGTTTTCCAGCTTTGTCACTTCTTAATAATTGTTTCTTAGTTCCTCGACTAAAATCAAATTGACCTTTTCAGCTTGTTAAAACCTTCGGTAAGGACTTCAAGTTCTGTGGGCGAGATGATGCTATTAACATCTTTTGGAATGGTGATGTGTTGACAGATCGGAATGGAATCGTGAGCCGATTTGGAGTCCGTAATGAAAGTGACAAAAACCTTCATCCAATTCCTGTCGTAGCTGGTGGTCCTGGAACGGGAAAGAGTAGATTTCTGGATGAAGTTGAACAATTGCTCAGTCAATGTGCTAACGAATCTGGCAATTATGAAATCCGGGAAGCTTTTGCCAATATGACTGTCATAAACACCACCTACGGGAATGGATCCCCGGCCGACGATATAGATATAAACATTACAGCACAGGCATCTCTTGCAATACGTATTCTGTTTGAGTACTTTCGACCACAACCATCTGAAATGGGCAAATTTGATTTTTCTAGCTTCCGCTCACTCTGTAATGGACTTCGCAGTAATTTGAACATTTCGAATTTTACCCTAAGCATTGCTCTTCAAGTTGTATCCATTGACATTATGCGAATGAAACAAATAGCACCTAATTCTCTGCTGGTCTTAGTCCTTGGCATCGATGAATTCAATAAATTACATGATATTGACAAAGATACTTCTAAAAAGCTTGTACATTCCATTGGAGGAATAATGTGTTCACCGCCTAATAATGTTTTTTTCATTCCTATTCTGGCTGGAACAATAGAGGGACCTTTGGACAAGTATGTCACAGAATCTATGCATAAACCACTTCGCCTTCCATTATACCTCCTCGAAGAGAAATATGCGATTGAGATTGGCAAGGCTATGAATCTATTTGATGACAATTATGTCAAATGTCATCCTTATTTTCGAGTCAGTATCGGTGACATTGGAGGACACGCAAGATCTTTGGAATATTTCTACAGAACTTTTGAAAAAAAGTTGCAACAAAGGAATGGTCTTATCAATGTGAAACTAAGTGATGTCATGTTAACTGTCGAACATATCATTAGGGATGATTATAATTTAGTGACGTACTCAAGATGGTTGACAGAAGTTATTGCAAAAGCCATATTAGGTCTGCCAGTGAAAAAAATGGACGAGATTATGATTGACGAACGATCAACAAGTTATCAGGATCTTAATTCGATGGGTATCTTGAATCTGGTCTTGGTAAAACCGTCTACAGGAGACCACCAGATTCGGTTACCTTACACATGGGCAAGTGTTCTCGTTCGAGCCTCTAAAGACCCTGGGATGACTTATTGGAAATCCATGTTTGATTATGATGAGCCAATGTATTGGCAGAACTTTGAGGATTTCAATGCTAAATTCTGGGCGTTACGCCTCAGTCTCTTCCATTTGTTAGGATATAAGAAAATCAAGTTGGGAGAACTCCTTAATGGTGCAAAATTTTCCCGTGGCTTTCCAGAGGAGGCTGAAATTATCCTTCCTGAGGACGTCAAATTGTGTAAATTACGACATCGGTATCCAGGTATTATAACTATTTTCCTGCAAATTGCAATATAGAAGCCACACCGAAACTAAAACGTAAATCATATTATTTTAGCTACTAAGACTAACGAAAACAAAAATATGAATGAAATGGAAGAGAGTTCGCGTTGCTATACCAAGCTTGATTTTCTGAGGAATGAAGATGTTAAGAATGAGAAATATATGGATTTTGTATTCCTAAATGCACCCGGTGCACCCTGGGATGTCTTTGGTTTTCATAGGTACGTTAATTATGAAAGTTCCGAAAATGGTATCTTCTGTATTGCTCAGCAAATAAAATACACCAACATTGAGGCACTTGAAGCAATGATCATTGATCAAAATTCATTCAATGACGAGTATGAAAAGGTAATAGTTCTTCACCTATAATGGGTATCATATGCATCATTTAATTGTTTGTTAATGGATTTCTTACAAGGTCTCCGAAAGTATAAAGGATGTTCCCATAGACGATTGGGCTCTCTTATTCCTAACAAACGCAGAATCAAATGAAAACCTGATTATAAAGTGTAAAAACGACAGTGCATTAGTATCAAGGAAACAATTTCACGATTTCTATGGATTCACATACGCCAGCAGAGCACAATTTGCATCTGGTACGTTCATTAATTTGAAGTCATCCTTTTTTGATTGCAGTACCGGCTGATGCGTCCTCTGTTTTTTTTTGCATAGCAAATGAAAAAATATTTATTAATTCGGCTCCTTCTGAAACTCTTAAAATCCTTGGCTTCACCGATAATCAGCGTCATGACATAAGTTTGAAACGCCCCTTCAGCGATTTGGATGATATGAAGACTAAGCTTGACATTAGTGAAAATACATTTAAAAAGTTGAAGCGTGGTAACAGGATTATTTTCTAGTCATGGAAGTTAATAACATCTGTATCAAACGCTCTTCACGATTCAATTGCACTCCTTTTCTCACATAATATACTACAAACCCATCTAAAATATACCCCTCGCTGGAATAATATCGATATCAACATTAATTTTAGAACATTCGTTACAAAATAGCAATAGTCCATGTAAAATTCAAATTATTATATAAACATATAAACATTGTACAATTGTATAAATATGGAGCTGGCTCTAAAATATAATAAAAAAATGTGATGTAGTAACGGACGTTTAAAGAAGCAATTATCTCAAGCCCTAACCCATCAAATGAGTGTTCCTTTCCGCCACTCCTACACCTAATGCTAATTTTTTTATCTATCTATTTCTATTGTTTCGAAATAAACAACATAATCCACTCCTATATCTATTATATTTCTAAAATTTTCGCGATTTATAAATATATATATTTAATCAAATAAAATTTCTAATGCTTTAATATGAAAATTTTAATGAATACTATATTATAATTGCTAAAAAAATTTAGTGACATTTATAATTCTTATAAAATAGATCTTAAATATATTTAATTTATTTTTCTAATAAGCTAAAATTCGTTTAAATCCAATCAGTTTTTTTATTTAAGATATAATACATAAAAATCCCAAAAAGTAAAACTGTAGCGTAATGAATCTACTACAATTGAAAACTTGTAGATAAAAATATTTCAATCTACCAGAAATGAATCAAGAATAAAAGTCATTAGGCGTAAATGATGATATAATATTGATTAATTTTATAAAATAAATTGAATTAGTTGAATTCGTTTATCCGAAATCCAAAATTGGAGGGATTAACAAAAAATCATTATACGATTTATCACTGATTTGGTTAAATATTTAAAAGGTGCAATATACTGTACTTCTAAAATTCTAATTATGGATGATGCGCCCAATGAAATATAATTTTTTTTAAAGTTAGGGAGTTGTCCCATTATAGATAAAATTCTTTTTGAATGAGAAATCAAGTTCTTAAAGTTGTAATACAAATAAATAAATGGAGGCGCAATAACAACAATCGGAGAATCGGAATACGAATGTCAAAAAACTTTTGTAAAGGGATAAAATGGTTTTTGTTGTTCATTATGTGAACCATTAACCATTTCTACAGCGACGATATCATAAAATTTGAATGCGCGTGTAAAATGTATGATTTTCAGTGGAGTATTAAATTATCATAAATAAAGACTTTACCATAAAAATTACAACGCTTGACCTTGGAAAATTCCTTTATATTCAGCTTTACCTTCCATAGTCATAAAGATCATTTGACAAACTTTTGTTCCAGGATATAATGCTAAAGTTAAACTTGAAGCATTAAATATTTCTAAAACTGTTTGATTATCTACTCCAGGATTTATAAATGATGCTGTTATATGTACTGATAACCCCAACCTAGCAAACCTTGATCTTCCCTCTATGAAAGGGATTTTAATCAGCTGAGAAATTACTATTTTAATTTTGGACTTTAGAATATTTTACTTACCGACTAATGCACATAAATCTGATGGTAATTTAACATTCTCTCTGGTAATTCCTAAAAAAAAAAAAATTGTTAATTTCAATTCCATAAAAAAAAAAAAAAAAAGAAAAATTCTTAATCAAACCTAAACACATTTGACCAGGCCCAAGATAATAAGGTTTACCATCTTCACATTTCAACTAAGAATAAAAAAATATATATACAATAAACCTTAAATGACAAAATTAAAAATAAAATTAAAAATTTAACAATTACTATTCTTGAAAATTTTTGATAATCTTTTGCACCAGCTTCATCACTAATCGACACTGGACCGTTATGATGAATGAAATATCTAAATTCGTTTCCGAGGGTTAGATCAACGCTAGATTTAAAAATGTAGATAATTTATAATTTATTAATTAAATTGTCGGAAAATATTAATATATAATAATTTACCTTGCAGCACCGATATTAGCATGATCAAAAGGCTCGATTGTAAGTTTTCTAAATCCAGAAATAACGATATCGTTATATTAATTGCTTAAATAAAGAATATATCGGAGAAATTTACGTACTTCTCCTTCAAGTATCTCTTTATTTCCGTCCCAGAGAGTACACCCATTATTAAAAAAGAAGAAAATCTTTTTATGGAAAGAAATTAAAATTTAATTATTATATAAATAGACATTTTTATAAAATCAGAATTTTTTCTGACCTTTTGATAGAAAAACTAAATTTATAATTACTGGATGTTTTTTTAAAATATTCGATCACTTTGGAATCAATTTATATTTATATATTTATATCTTTAAAATGTAATGATGTAGTGTAAATCTCGTGATCATTTTGTACTCTAGTTTAGGAATTAAATTAAAACATTTATACACGTTGTTTATTATCTTTTTGCCTGAATAGTTTATATGAATATAGATAAATCTACAGATTGTTTATTCCATATTTGTCAGTATATAATAATTTATATAAACCCCCAGTCAGTCAGTGTTTTTTTTTTAAAAAAAAAAAAAAAATAAAATAAATTCGTAAAAAATTAGACAACAATGGATAATGAATTGGTTCTAGATACGAACATTATCCCAGTAATCACTATCGATGGCGGTAGCCCAATTATAGGGAGGCCTCCAACTAATTCATTAAGTTTAGAAAATTTTAAAACATCGTGTAATAAAGTTGGTAGTAAAGAAAGTCGTGAATCAGATAAATCAATTTTAAGTGAAGCTTCACATAAGGTGTTCGAAAAAATTTCAGACTCCTGGTCAGCTTTCAGTAAATCAATTAGGGATTCATTAGAGTTTGGGGGTAATAATGATGAAAATGAATTGGAAAGAGGAAAATCACTCGTTGAGTACGATATCGACGTTATGGCCTTGTCCCCGGGCAATAAATTTATAACGACTTGGAGTTCGACGGACGGAATCCTTGCAGTTTTTCCAATCGATAGTCAAAATGGACCGATTAATTCAATATTCGGTATCAGAACTTCGTATAACCAGACGACCGCATCGAAAGATCAATACAAAGTTTATATTTCAGTCTCTGAAGATGGTCAATATGTTGCAATATCAAAGATGAAAATATTGGAAGACAATCAAAAAGATTCGCCGAATATGGATGATGCGATTTCAATAGATTCAAACTCTGTGAATACACAATCATCATTCGTGGTTTACTCAATAAATCATCATAAAGAACAATGTAATACAAAATTAGGTAATTTAGATACAATGGATATTTCAGGTCCTTTAATATTTGTAAATAATCAAAGATTAGTTTGTTTTACTAAAAATGAGATGCATTTATATTCTACAAAAAGTTGGAGGTTAAATTATAGTATTGACATCTCGGCTTTAATTCATTCTTGTCCAAGATATTCTGATTCTAGTAACGAATTTTTGGTGCACACTTATGATGCCTTGATCGAAAGTTTGAAATTTGGTTATTTAATTTGGGCTGAAGATCGATCAGGACTTTCGGTTTGGGATACAGATGGAATGTTAAAACAATGGTTTTATGTTGAGGCAAGAAATATTTCAAATTCAAGAAACTTATTCGCCATCTCTCCCAATGGTAATCTCGTAGCTAGGTAATAAGATTAATTATCATTTAATTCGCAATATTTATATATATATATATATTTTTTAATGATTCATATATTAACTTTAATAATCTTTAGATTTTATGAGGAACAGAAAGATAAACCTGGGGCGTCATCAAGTTCGCTAAGTATATTTCACACCCCAACGGCATTAGCGATTTCCGAATTCGAAGTTAATAGGACTACTTTCCATATTTCGTTCTTGTCCAAAACTGATCATATAATCGTTTGTTCGAAAGAAGGGGAAGGGGTTTGCGTGCAATTGTGGGATTGTTGGGCCGGAGGATTGGTTTTCGAAGAAATATTCCTTAACCTTAAACATGACAAACCACTATTATTTCTTGGGGATAAATTTGTTCAATCAGTTGGCAATGAATTATGTACCTTTTCATTAATTCCAAATCACCCATCAGTTACAATGGAAGCATTAACTAAAACATCATTTCGTGATTGCAAATCAAGTGAGAATGGTTTATTAATCACTATAAGCTTTGAGCAAGGATCAAAGTGTATTATATGTTGGGGTCGAATTTTTAATAGTGATAACGTTTTGCAGTGCGAGTTTAAATTTGAGCCATGGAATTGGAATAATTGGTCTAATAAAGGGATATTTGTTCGTTGGTTAGACCCTGAGGGAAAGAGATTCGTCCTGGTTGGAAATGAAAGTGTACAAATTTACAAGACGAAACCTAAAGGACAATATTTAAAGTTGGAATTACAATATATATGGGTCACCAAATCTTGTATAAAATCTGTAATTTTGGAAACGGCCCAAGACGAAAATGATTCAAGTAAACCACCCCAGCATACAATGCTTCATGTACAATTTACAAATAACGAAATGACATCCTTACCTATACCAAATGAGGATGATAAATTAACGCACAGGATAGTGTCTGATGCGTTAGCTACGGTACATTTTCTTCGACTAATGTATGCGTCTAATATACAGCACTTTAATCAATTGACAATCAGGAATCAATTGAAGAAGCTTATAGATTCTTCGGTCATACAATTTCCTTCAGCTTTTAACAAATGTTATTGGAATGATACCGAATTTTACCCCATGGAAGACTTCATATTGTTTGGTTGGGATGATTTGGTAAAAAGTATCCTTGAAAATGACCGATATATTCCTCTTTTTCATGACAAAGATCATTCCGAAAGCGCTTTATTATTATTAATAGAGCTTCAAAAATCAGAGTTGGTTGAACAAATGGTTAATTATATCATTAAACATTTAAAGCAACGCCATGTCGCAGTACGCAATCGTTCGAGTTCTATGAATCTCGATAAAAAACTTGTTCAAAAACCTGGGTTCGCTTGGACCTTAGGAAAATCTTTATTGGAATTATATCAGTATTATCCCGACAAAGGAATTTTCGTTATGAAAGAATCAAGTTACTTTACAGTTTCTTTAGAGGCTCCCGCGAGAATTTTACAAACAAATTTATCGTTTGGGGAAGAAAGAAGTTGGCATAAAGAATTAAAAGCTGTAGCACGCATAGCTCGATTGCCAAAAGGAATTGGTTTTATTAATGATAAAAACAAAAGAACAATAATTAATAAATGGTTTAGGCCATCAAATCTTAGCATTAAAACACGTCATTATACAGGAGCTCTAATTTATTATCCAAAAGAAACGCACTATCCAGATAAGAAACAAGATATGAACAAAGGAATTTCTATTCAGCTAAAGCAACGTAAACAACGTTTAATAGACGTGAAAAAAACCCATCCCGCAAAATTATGTGTTGTTCCCTTGCCAGATTTTTGTGTCTATCCTTGTTTGTGTGAAAAAGGTAGTTCATCTTTATTTGATACGATGTATCGATTTTTCTACGTTTATTTTGCTCCGGCACAAAGAAGTCCGTTCGCCGAGGTGGCGTTAAATGGGCCGGCTGAGATGTTTAGTGAAGTTGCCATGGAAGCTATAATAAAATTTAAGTGGTAAGTTTTGTTATCTTACATAGTAAATATATATATCTTGTTTTCTTAATAAAATATTGACCCATTATCTTTTTTTTTTTTAAAAAAAAAAAGGGAAAAATTTGCGAAACGCCTATATTTATGGCAGTTCTCATTTTATATAATCTTCGGAATTATATTCTGTCTGACAGTTTCAATTGAATCTAAACTTGGGCCACGAAGTAGAAATTCAAATAGCGAATTTATAGTCACAGCGATTATTTCAATGATGTTTTTGTTGCAAGAAATAAGACAAATGTCCTGTGGATTGAAAAATTATTGGACAAGTTTTTTTAATTATGTTGATTTGGCGAGCTATTGTTTACCTCTTGCAACTTCTTTAATGCTCCTAATGAAACAAGAACCGCCAACATGGTTGATAAGTTTTGCGGTTTTATGTATATGGCTTAATGGGGTATTAAAAATTTAAATTATCGAAAAAGTAACCCCGTTGTTTTCAACTTTGAGGGTGATTAATTTTGATTTAATTTTGATTATTAGTTGTTGAAATCAAGAGCATTCGAGGCAACTGGGAAATTCATCGCAATCGTGATTGTAATTGGTAAACGGATCAAAACATTATTGATGACCTTATTCATTATAGTGCTTGTAAATATAATCATCTTGAAATTTCTTTTCTCTTGTTTTGGATCAAATTTAACGGTTTTTTTTTTTTGACTAGGGATTTGCAAATGCATTGTACATCCTTTTACGTGATAAGAATCCTGCGAATCTTGTTCCAACATTTAGTGGGACAGTAACAGATAGTTCGGGAAATTCTGCAGAGATAAAACTGGATCAAATACCCGATGATAATGCTAATATGTGGCAAAGATTTGATTCTTCAGTTTTAGCTACTTATTTTTTTCTAGGTATTGGATGGGATAGCGTATTGGGTTTTGAACCAGATTGGTCCTTGTATGCCTTGATGATTTTATTCAGTAAGTAAGGAAACGGTTCTTTTATTTTTATTTTTTTAAGAATTAAATGCATATTAACTTTTTTTGTGAAATTTCACAGGTCTCGTAACTGTAATCATGCTTTTGAACATTCTTATCGGTATAGTGTTTGCATTTGTTATTTTGTTATTTGATATCTTTTATTTTCATTTTTTTAAAAAATTTTCTTAAAATCCATAGGTTTAATTACCGAGGTATTCAGTGGTTCGCTCCAAGTAGGACGACAAGCATGGTTACGTCAACGAGCAGAATTAGTAGCGGAACTTGAAATCTTAATGCTCTCACCCTCGCAACGTCAATATCCGGATTGGTTCCCTCATTTAATATATTATGAAGCTCATGTAGATTCTATAAAAAATTGGAAAAGAAAACTAGAGTTGGAGGAAATGGGTGAATTGGATGTTGATTTTGTTAAAAGAGAATTGAAAAGTGTTAAAGATGATTTAAATAATGAGTTAAAGGAACTAAAAGGAATGGTCGGACAAATTAGAATTTTTATAATTGGTTCAAAAGGTGATAACGATTCCGGAAGCAAATCAGGAAGAAACACAGTTTGACCTTATTATAAATAAAAAAATAAAA